CGTGGGTTTGCTATCCTGGCTCCAAAATGGTGGAATGAGCTCCCCATTGACATCAGGACAGCAGAAAGCTTACACATCTTCTTCAGACTGAAAACTCATCTCTTTAGACTCCACTTCGAGCGATAGGATTGCTAACAAATAATTACTAACAAAGCACTTATATACTAATAAAGGACTGGCTTATCTAAAGCCAGTTGAGTAGCACTTGAAATATTTTAGCTCTAGAAACCTGATGTACTTGATATGATTCTGTTTTCTTCAAGGTCGAATGCACTTATTGTAAGTTGCTTTGGATAAAAGCGTCAGCTAAATGTAATGTCTATTTGTATCAAAATGAGCCGAGCTGAAACAATGAATCGGACATCATACTTAAACAGAAAAAATGCTAGCTAATATGGATAATCGATTCATCGTTATTATAGTTAGATGAAATGTCATGTTAATCCCTCAAATATAGACATTTCCTGCATTTCTATTTCATAATAGAAAATTACTATTTTCTGTCTTTTGGACTGACATCTGATATTAGAGGACATCATCTTGGACTTTGATAAATGGAGAAAATGTTCACTATGTTCTGACATTGAACGGACAAAACCATTCATTATTAACAGAGAAAAGAATCATTAGAATAATCCATTGGAAAAATAGTTTGTTGCAGCCCTTCAACTGAACAAAGACTAGTTCAAGGCCTCAGAATAAACTCAGTGTTTCCCCTACCATTGTCTTGGGGGGGCGCTGCGCCAACCCAACGGAACCCCGCGCCCCCCCTGAAATTCAAGGTGTTTTTTTTAATATAAATACAAATCCTTACTGAAGTAATCTATCTACGGTCACTTTTCACATTGAACATGTGCTCTTGTATTAAATAAACTAAGCGCTTATGTTATTTATCCAATTGATGTGCATGTTTCAGTGTCCACTGCATTACTTTGCACATTCACATTCTGTCCTCCACTCTGTTTCTGAAGGGAACACCCCCCCCCCCCGTACGGATCGCCATCATCGGACTGCCCTCATCCCGCCCTGGCAGCATCCTCCCAAAGCAGTAAAGCTAGGGGAAACACTGAAACTTGTTTTTCTAAGCTGGACTTAATATTCCCCAAAACAACCAAGGTTCACTGGAGAGACTGGAAATAGTGCTAAGCTACATTAGTTAAATAAACGTGTACTCTAGACAGCAAACTGGTGGAACAACAAAGCATTGTGTAGCATGTTAGCTTGCACATTTCAGACAATTTCAATTGAGCAGCATGGTAGGAATTGCATTTTTTCTTTAGTGGAAATCAATGTCCCTGTCCTTGAAAGTGTTGAGAGAGAGGACTGACCTGAGGGGATGTCGATGCTGGCGATGGGGGAGGTGGTCTTCTTCAGCACGTCCAGGATGGAACCAAAAGGCTCTCGAACAGCCCCCTTAAAGCTGAAGCCGAAGATGGCGTCTATCACCAGGTTGTAAGCCTCGTCAATGAATTTAGCCTGAGAAATGAATGTTTATTTAGATTGTTTTAAAGACCAACAAACATCAACATTGTACACATCACAGAGTATAAACATGTCGTTATATGGTGCAGATCTGAACACATAACTCGGCATCATTACTTGAAAATGATTTATTGTGTTGTCTGTTGCAATAAAAACTCTAACCCTAATTGCCCCTATTTGGATCATTACGCCTTCCTCTGCTCTGGACTGCAGTCAAATGTAAGAGATCTAATCATGTGTAATACAGTAACTGCACAGTTTGAGATAAAGAGCCCACTCACAAACAGATCACATTACTTCACCACTGTGGATGCTGCATTATTGATAATAGCCAGACCTTTGGCATCTCCGTCAGGAAGGGGATCTCCATCTTCTGGCACTGCGTGGTAAGACCCTGAAACAGAGGCTTGCTTGGCCTCTTCGGGTACAGGATGGTGGGCTCGTAACCCTGCAGGGACACACACACACAGGAAAATAGTGACAGTCTGAAGATTGACGGCCACAAGGTAATCCCAGCAATAACAACTACTAATAATAAAAAATACTAATAATCAATCACTGCTGTAACGCTTCAATCAACCAGTAAGATTTCAACCTGTTTTCAGCTAAAATCATCTTGTTGTAGGATTTCTTTCTATAATGTGCTTTACTTTACACATGTTAAAGACACTCACAAAGAGTTTAAGGTGTCGGGCGCAGACCAGGCCGTCGCCTCCGTTGTTCCCAGGTCCACAAATCACCAGCAGGGACGGTGTGGCCTTCACCAGGGAGCTGATTGGATAGGCCTGCAGGAAAAACACACAGTCAAATCAATGCTCCAAAACTGAGGTATGACCAGGAAAAGAGGATTTACTACACAGCTGCTACTGAAGATAAATGCTCCTTGTGATGAAACATCAGAAGTAATCAGAGTACTCCTCATGTTAGGCAGTAATACGATTTAAACACATGATGTACTTTGACCTGGTTTCAAGGTCACACAGTGAGCCTTTTCATGGTTATATGAAGTGTAGTTGAAAAGGTCTTTAAGGTGTGTGTACTCACATTAAAACAGTACATAGGTATAGAAAAGGATCAAGCATGAGTGTTTTTGAAGGAATGCTTTACCATCTGGACAATAGCCAATTGTAATGCCGAAGTGGTTGTCTCCCAAAGTCTTTGAACTTGTATGCACCATTTTTTCCTTTGAATCCTCTGATTTGGTGTTGTACAATTAACATTAGTGTATACTGTATAGTAGGGATGTAACGATACCAAAAACTCACGGTACGATAATATCACGATAAAAAGTCCACGGTACGATATTTATCGCGATATTGAAAAATAAAAAGGGAAACAAATGTGAATTTTTTTTTTTTTTTACTTCAATTTTGTTTCCTTTATTAAATAATACATCGGATTTGTACAGCATTTTAGTAGGATAGTAGTATTTTAAAGTGTCAACAATATAATAATCAGACCCTGCAATAGAATAAATCAAGTTTCACTTTAGTTTTTCAAGTAACTCAACTCTAACTCACTCACTCAGCATCATCAAGGTTATCTTTTAGGAATATGAGCATGTCCACATTTCCAGGTAGAAGCTGGGATGTTTGGGCGTTTACAATATCCCCTGCTGTGGAAAAAACTCTCTCGCTTGGTACTGATGTTGCTGGGACAGAGAGACATGCTTTGGCCGTGGGTGACAGCGGTGGGTAAAACTGTGCATTGTCTCTCCACCACTTCAAAAACAATACAGTTGTTGCCAAGAAGTTGAGGCTTATTGACAGGGTGAGATATAAATATACTGTTGGTACTTGTCAATGTCTCTAGGTGTGTACATGTAGCCCTGTGAATAGGATGTCCTTTTGTGTTATCTGTTGTTTTATGTTCATGTTGAAACTATGGTTGTAACCTACTTGCTGCCATGTTGGACAGGTCTCCCTTGAAAAAGAGATCAATTATCTCAATGGGACCATCTGGTTAAATAAAGGTTTTAAAATATATATATATATAAAATAATTTTCTTTTAATAAATTACATTTTTTTTTTTTTTTTTTTTAAATCGCGGTATATTTTGTCAGTCTCACGACGGTATTGAGACATTTATTTACCGCGATATTCGATATATCGTTACATCTCTACTGCATAGTGAAACAAAAGAAGAACAAATACTCAATAATAAGGAAGATAAAGACTTTATTATATGTCGAAAACTGTTCATTTTTGGAGACAATGGCGAGCAAAAAGCTGAGGTTTACTTCATTGGTTGTGACAAAAGGGAAAAAGATAACAGAACAAATCACAAGAAAACTTAGTCAAATCAGAAAAACACAATAAATAATAAAAACCTTATCTATTAATGTCCTCTACATTGTGTAGGCTGCAATGATTACTTCCAATGCTAATGAACGAATTGCTAGCTCATAAAATGTTTAAAAGTGAAAATGTGGATATTTAAAACAATGTATTGAGTGTACAGTCACATATAAAAAAAAAAAAGACATCAAGTCTTTCCATGTGACAAATGCTTGGCATCCCGCTTTAAAAGTGTTGGGTTTAGGAAATATTTGCCGATTATCTATGTCTATGAACAAATTAACTCATCTCTACAGCTTTCAATGTAACACTGTTGTTTCTATTTCACATTAAGAGCCCTGATATCTCACCCTGGCGATGGCTGTGGCACAGCTGAGTCCAGCCAGCTCCATCAGCTGATCCACGCTGAAGCCGTACTCACTGAAGAGCTCCTCATCGATGTGCTGCGCCTCCTCCTGCCTGCGGACCAGACACCGCTCGGTTAAAACACACACACACACACACACACACACACACACACACACACACACACACACACACACACACACACACACACACACACACACACACACACACACACACACACACTTTACTGCTCTGTGTACAACAACTTTACCCAAGGTATTTGAGGGTCTGGGCCATGGTGGAGGTCTCTTTGCTGCTGAAACAGCCCTTCTTGTGGTTGTTAGCTGCAGTGGGCAGCGGGCATTTCTGACAGAGGACTGCCGGGGCCCGTGAGGTCACCAGGAATCCGATCCCAAACAGAGCCCGCACACTCAACATCCAGATACACACTGCTGCAACAGAAGCGAGAACAGCCCTGAACTAAAGGAAGAACACCCCACATGGGTCTCATGAGCTATTGCACTGATTCAAGTGGAACCCAAACAAGACCGTTTCACATGAAGCAAAGCCTGCAAGCTACGGCTCAGGCAGGCATTTTTCCCATGATCTGAAAAATGTATATTGAGCAACCAGTCTTGTAAACATTGTATGTTTTTAGTTAGGATTATAAAATGATCATTACACTGATAAATGTGCTGGTAAATATACGTGGATCCGTGCTACAATCTATTTTCTGTTAGTGTGATCAAGACTTTGTGATGTTATGATGTGATTGTTATGCGTGTACCTGCCCAGGGAGTGCAGATGGAAATGAGCCAATAGCCTCATATGGCATAATATCTGCATTCTTTTTTATATAAATGTATTTTTATGCATGGTAAATTAAATAATTTAAAGAAATAGTTTGTATATTAAGGCTTGCTAATATATTAATTGAATAGTGTGATACTGATAATAGACTAGATACCATCTTACAGTTTAGATATTGTGAAGTGGCTAGGTGCCCTTTGCTGCTTTTAGTGCTTGCTTGCATTTTCTTTTCCCTACATGCACTCTAGCTGTGCACTCACTGCCCTGTAGGCTGTGCACTCACTGTCCTGTAGGCTGTGCACTCACTGTCCTGCAGGCTTTGCACTCACTTTCCTGCAGGCTGTGCACTCACTGTCCTGCAGGCTGTGCACTCACTGTCCTGCAGGCTGTGCACTCACTGTCCTGCAGGCTGTGCACTCACTGTCCCTGCAGCAAAGAGCATCGATCATCCCTGGGCTCTCAGCAAATGCTTGATATGGTTTACAGGAAGAGAGGAGACAAAGTGTCTCCGAGCCAAAGTCATTTGCATTTTAAATCACAAGGCTGAACTTGTACTTAGGGCAGAGTGAACATTAAACCAAATCATCCTGAACTGAAATGATTATTAAGTAGGGCTCCAGGTAGCTTTTAGCATATTTTTCATAAATAGCTGTAAAAAAAATGAATTGAAAATGATACATTCCCATAGGTCAAATTGTGTTATCTGAATTAATGCTGAAAAGATCAGTGTTTTTTTAAGTCTGTCTGAATATAACCTATGTCGGGCTCTGGAGCTTTGGCATGACTCTGGTGAGATGGGATCAAATATCCAAATCCGAAATAAGGGAAAATAAATGTATCCAATGAGCAAATTTCCAAAAAGATGGGTTCAGCCTTACGATATATTTAAGAAATAATTATTTGGGACATTTTAGTTTAAATCAATAAGCCTAGTGTAATAGCTGTTGTCAAAAAAGAATAGCTAGTTGACAATTCAATCTAATTACCTTTCGAATTATATTCAACAGAATAAAGCAGAATTTGTCATTTTTTAGAAGCTGAGCAGCAATTATTATTATTATGATGGTACTTTTACAAGACCACTTATCGATATTTTTTCAATCAACTAAAAGTAATTGATCTGCCGTCTACTTTTAATTTTCAAATTCACAATGTAATTCAAATCTGCGTTCTAAAACATATATACAATTACGTAAATAATATATGTTTTAAATGCAATGCAAGCCATGCTGATGTTACTTCATTTTATCAACTTTATTTTTTCCGTTGCAAACGGCCCCACCTGTATCAGCTTTACTAAATGTACTAGTTGACTTTAGCAGTAAGCAACTAGCATATAAGTTAGCCCTTTGGTGGAGACAGAACGAGTCAAGTATGTGTTGTATGTTTGTTTTAGTGACAGTTCATAAACGAAATACTTAAACCACATAAAGGTCAAGTTATACTTTTGAATTCAGTCTACAGGCTGTGAAGTTGTTGCAAGTTGTTAGCTGAACTTTAGCTAGTATACTGACTTCGAGACAAATTATGAATGACACTCACCAAATGCAAGCAAGTCTTCCTTTAAAACAACTTCACATGCATATTTTCCCTCATGAACAATGCAGCGACATGACTTACGGATAATTAACAAATGGATAAAGTGTATGAGAGCCGTGCAAAACGGTTATGGCTAGAAGGGATCCGTCTTGTGTAAATATGACGTCACGATCTCGTTGTAACTCTCGTTGGAGCGGCTCGGAAACACACCTACAGCAGTAACATGCAACATACACATTAATGCAGCAGTAATATTAATAGAGAAACATCAGACATAATAGTAAAACACTGAAAGGGAACATTTTATTGCACCAGGAGCTATCTTGGGACTTTTACTGCGACAACGTTGACTTGCCTGTGAATACAAAATAAACCATAGTGTTGGTGATCTACAGTGTTGTCATTCTTCTTTGAACAGCAAGACCGCTAACACCCTATTTCAACAATCACACTCCCTGTCATTGACTTAATTAATAGATGGTTTAGCTTCTCACCATCATTTGCTGTGGCCCACTGATGTTAACGATCTTAACTGAAAGGCTGCCTGCCAAACGTAAACATTCAGCCACGTGACTTGCAAACTATCGCGAGAGTTTTACACTAGACGGATCCTTTCTAGCCATAACCTGCAGCCAAACTGTGTCAGCCACTTCCGGGTTTAAAAAAATGTTAATTTCAAAATAAAACTTCACAGTGAGAAAGTGCTGTACGGGAAGGGAGAGTATATTTTATAAAATATTTAATAAAAAAATGGACAGTGCAGTTCAGTGGTGGTAATATTGAATTATACTAATGTTTTTTTTCCTTATCTTATGTTCTCTTTTTTAATTGTGTTTTTTTTTTTCAGACATAATTCACAAGATTTGTAGGTAAGGTATTAGTCTAAACAAGAACGTTCTTTACTAAAAAGATGTACCTGTGTAATTGTTATGCATCTGCCAATAATAGTAACAACAAAACCCACTTATTTTTATTTTGCTATTTGCATCCTATCATTATTGTTGAACAAGACAAATATGGCAGAATTCTGAAAAAGATGTTTATTGATATAAGAAGAAAATACACAATATTCCTCAGATCTGTAGAAAGGTTGGGGTCAGTAAGTTCACATCGGTAAGAAAATGAAAATCTGATGAAACGGTTCTATAAGTAGCACAAAAAAGCATGATTTATCGACCAGCAACAACTCTTTTAGAAGTAAACAAGGCTTTTAGCACAAACTGTCGTTGGACAGTAAGTTGTTCACATAGCTGATTCATGTTGTATTGCTATGTGAAAGGCTGGTATATATTTCCAACCATTAATGACAGCAAAGCAAACAAAGTGACTGCTAAATCGCCATTTAAATTCCAGAAAGAAATCAAAAGCACGCCTATGTACATTATAAAAAAGCAGTATCAAGTTTTTTTGCATGCCTTATTTTGAAATGATTATTCTGTTATACATTAACTAACTTTAATAACTAAAACTGGTAACTATAAAGCATTAATAACTGAAAACTAAAAGAGTTGAAGTGTTCCAGCGAGGGTCCATGGGGCTCACATGATTGGACAGTTTTCCATTCTGGATCCAGTCTACGAGGAAAGATGACAAAGTTACCATCAAACACGAAAATACTCAAGATGAAGACAGAAATAAAAAATAAAAAGCACTGATCTCTAAAATCAGAAAAACATGGTGTTTCAGCATCCTAGTGGAGCTGATGTTTTGTCTTCCTTTGTGATGAACTCATTGCTCACCTTGCGAGGACTGCTGGTGCTGAACACGTAGGACTGCGGCAGTAGACCCTCGGAGATCCCTCCGCTGCGGAAGGATCTGGAGGGGGAGGTCACGGAGCAGTGGCTGGATTTGTCTGAAGGAAGTCCACAGGAGCCGCAGACCACCGTGCGGCTGCGCAGGTTATACTCACTGTCTCCACAGGTGCTGTGAGCCACCTGCTGAGGCAACACACAGTTATTGTTAGTATCACAGCAATTCATAAGTAAATACTCTGCGTTGGTTTTATTTTTTGTGATTTGGTGATAGCTTGGCCAAAATATTTAGAGAAGAGTGTTTTATTTTGAAAGGACCACATGGATATCTTTAGGGGGTGCAAGATATTTGACAAAACTATAAACCTCGTGCAACACATTCAAAAGAGATCATAATCATAAACAGTTTTGATATTTGATTCATAATTTGAGTAATGTTTAAAATATTTCCTGGATTGACTTATAAATTGGTAGATTTTCTGACTTTCTTAGAATTATATAAAAGAAAACAGAACATTTGTGTTTTGGACTGTTGGTCTTCTAAAAAAAATATAGATAATAATCCATACATGAATGAGGTCTGCTGTTTCCGGATTTCTGTGTTCAAATTCAATTTATCTTACCATGTCATCATCTTCTTCTTCAAGCTGTGTGCGGGTGACCTTCCTCATTGCCATTTCCTGAAAGAAAAAGTATTTACGTTTTTATTTTTGCAAATTTCTGACACTAAAAAGCTCTGTGCATATCATTTGACACAAGCCTGGGCTGAGGCCATATTAAACCTAATGTCATCAAAGTACTATAGGCTTGGATAAAGAACCATTTGAGCGGTAAATTCAGAATACCTCTCCATTGGCGCTTATCAGGGTGGTCTGGAAGAGGTCTCCGGTACCCCAGGAGGCCTGAGTCTTCCACACCAGGTCAGAGGGAGGATTGTGGGGAACCCCAGCACCAGAGGCCCAGATCTGTCACCGGGAGTTAAGGTTAACAAAGGTGAGTAATCTGTTACTCTGTTTATCACTGTACTGATTTGTGGTTCTTCTGAGTGAAGGTATTTCTTACCGTGACCCTCTGCCCAGCCTTTAAGGTGAATTTCACCGGGAACTTGAAGATGATTGGAACACCAGATCCCACCTGTCGCTTCAGCTGCCAGTTTCCCAAATTCTGGTCCTGATGGTTGGATTAAAAAGGTCAGCAGTTGTTTTTTAAAGTGTCAAATCCCCTAAGTAAGTTGAATTCATAATATTGAATCACCCAAACATGTATTCACCCCTCACCTCATCGCTCTTGTTGCTGAGCCTGACATACTTCCCGTCCAGGTCCACCTCGTCCACGGTGACGCGCCCGCTGGCTGAGGCCTGCTGGGTGATGCGGGTGCGGGCCACAGATCCTCCTCCCATGCTGGAGGCCTCGCTGTCTGTGTCGTTGGGGCGGCGCCTCTTGGCAGGAGTGCTGTTAGTGCTGTAGTGAGCTGAGCGAGACAGAACTCTGGACGCAGAGGAACGACTTCCTGTCATCTTGGTGGGAGGGGGACTGGGGGAGAGACGTAGCCTGCAGGGACAAACAAGTGTTAGTGACAGAGGAAGAGGTAGGAAGGACATTTGCTCAAGTACTAAGTATCATTTTGGTTGTACTTTAGGCAAGTATTTTCATATTACGATAGTTTATGCATTTCACTACATCGCATAAGTCGAAGTATGATATGATATAAACCCTGTTCTTATTTTTCTTTTTAATATTTGTGTTTTAATGTTATTTTATTTTCATTTTTTTAAGTCTTTCATGGGTAGGACAATTTTCTGTCATTGTGATAGATTTAACTTTTTTTTTTTTTTTATCTTTATTGTTATTTATGATCCAATTATATATTTTACATTCTTCGGAAATAGGCCATTATGCACATTAAGTTTACCTTTGTATTTAAAGGTAGGGTTGGTAAGTTTGAGAAACCGGCTCCAGATACACTTGTTGTTATATTCCATGGAATGCTCTTAACATCCCGAAAGCAATGAATAGTTATGAAAAGTGCTTTGACAAAAAATCCATAATAAAAATGTCATCTCTGGAAGCCGTAGCGCTGTAAAAAGCACAACCAATCATTTTAGCCGGCCCGGCTAAAATAACTGGATGGCCTACCTGCCTGTCAGCCTTCCATCTGTGCACAAACTTATCTCGTGCCCTCATTGGTCATGTGCGCGTTCGTGCGTGTTGGAGGAGGGGCTCTGTAAGGAAGTGGAAGATTTTTTCCGTCTGTGTATTTTCAAATTCTAGCGCACTCGATCTGGTTTCTCAAACTTACCTACCCCACCTTTAAGGTATATTCTGATGCTAATACCTTTGTACTTTTACCTAAGTACGATTTGGTTTCCAGGATTTGTACTTGCACAAAAGTTTCTCTGCAATGTAGTATTACTACTTTTATTGAATTTAAAAATCTGGATACTACTTCATCCTCTGGTTATGAATGGCAACTCTATAGCACAAAGGAAATCACTGTTGAATTACCGCAAGACTCTTTTTTGTGACTGTTTACCTCTGCTCCTCTCCCTCCAGCAGCTTCCTGTAGGCACAGATCTCCATATCCAGAGCCAGCTTGACGTCCAGCAGCTCCTGGTACTCGTCCAGCTGCTGCTGCATTTTCTGCCTCATCTCCGCCATTTCTCTCTCCTTCTCCCCCAGCAGGCGGCGGGTGGTGTCCCGCTCCCGAGACATGGCGTCCTCCAGGTCCCTTATCTTGGCCTCGCGGGCCGCCAGCTGGATCAGAGAGAGGGTGACACCGTTGTTAGATTAAATAAGAAAAAAAAACCCAAAAAAACACAGCTTCAAAGCTTTAGATTTGTCAAGCAAAGCCAAAGATGGTGAAAGGAGCTTTTTGGTCTTCAGAATTTTTTTGTAAAAGCAAGAAACATCAGATTAAAATGTAACATTGCAATTTGTGCAACAAACAGCCCAACTAAACTTTTGAAATCAGCAAATATAAAGTAAAATATATTTGTTGTTATATTTGGCCTAACATACTAACGAGGAAAAACATAACATGATGCCTGCTTTCTTTTAAACAAGGCATGCTCAGAAGCAGAATCAGAACTTGTAAAATGAAGCTAAATTAAATAATATAAAATACAAATATACATTTACAAAAAGGTAAAATAAAATAAGAAGAAATATAATTTTTAAATAATTTTAATAAAGTGTATGCATATTATATTTGTATTTAATACAATAGCCACAGTAGTGCATTAATAAGAATAATGTAAGCGTAATAAAGTATTAACTCTAATTGTTTTGAGAATTGCAGAGTTCAGTTGTTGATTTGATATTGATGCAATGTATTATGCCCTCAGCTGCTCCTCACTGTACCTGTTTCTGCAGCTGGCTGATCTGAGAGGACATGGACTCCAGGCGGATGCGTGTCTGCTGCAGCTCCTCGTGTGCGGCTCCAACCAGGTGGCCGCTCCTGTCTGCAGACTGACGAGCGTTCTCCAGCTGACAGAGAAACAACAAGGGAGAAAATGATTTAAATCTCACATTAAAAAAAACTGCACCCTGAAACTAATGTTGCTTCAGTAGTACCAGCCCGAATGAGTTCTATGCATTCCTGTTTTATGATGTTTTGGATCATTATTGTGTGCAGGTTGTGTTTTGTATTGTGTCTTTTTTTTTTTTTTACCTAGAAAAACAAAAAATGTATGGTGTACCTTGGAATTGTAGGTCTTCTCGACATCCTCCTTGTACATTTTTATCTGCAGTTCATGCTGACTACGCATGTCCGCCAGCGCCTCAGATAATTTGCTTTCAAAGTCCTGCACGTGGCCATTGTCCACCTCAACCATGCGGGACTCATGACGCCGCTTTGTCTCCCGTAGCTCCTGTTGGACGATTGTAAACACAAAATCATTTTCAGGTGGTGGCTGATGAGATTATATGAAAAAGGTTTCATATATTTTTCAAATAATTCCTTCAATATAAGTTTCTCAGGGTCTGACCTCAGAGTGGAGGTTCCTGCAAAACTCCAGCTCCTCTTTGAGGGTCTGGATGCGGTTCTCTCCGTCCACCCTCCTCAGCATCTCATCCTGCAGCTGCTTCTTGGCATCGGCCAAACTGGTGTCCAGCTGAGAAACAGGAACTGAATATTAGTACTAAGCTGCTATTCACATAAAGAGGCAGCAGAATGCAGGAATATGCATTAAATACAATGAACGGGCAGTTAATGGAACATTCTGAGCTTTACCAGCAAAATACTTCATTTGCTCATATAGGCATCTCTGCTTGTCTAGCTGACATCTCTCAGTGCATGTCTGCTCACCACCTCAAGCTCAACATTGACAAGACTGAACTGCTTTTCGTTCCGGGAAAAGATTGTCCCACTCTCAACATCGGCACCTCGATTGTTTCCCCGACTCCCCCTCTGTTGTTTCCCCCACTCAGACTGCAAGGAATCTGGGTGTGACCCTAGATAACAAACTGTCCTTCACTGCAAACATCGCTGTTACAACAAAATGACTCAGGGTGCATCTGAGATTAGAGAGGGTGCAGTGGTAAAGTGCTATTTTTATAAGTGGGGAGTGGAATTAACACCCTCTAGGGGGGTCCTCACCTCCTCTAGGAGGCTCCTCACCTTCTCTAGGAGGCTCCTCACCTTCTCTAGGCGGGTCCGGGGGCATGCTCCCCCGGGAAGANTGTGTGTGTGTGTGTGTGTGTGTTGTGTGTGTGTGTGTGTGTGTGTGTGTGTGCGTGTGTGTGAGCGTGTGTGTGTGCACATGTTTCTGCCTCTTTACNGTGTGTGTGTGTGTGTGTGTGTGTGTGTGTGTGTGTGTGTGAGCGTGTGTGTGTGCACATGTTTCTGCCTCTTTACGTGTGTGTTTCTCCGTATATTTGGCAAATATACGGAGAAACACACACGTAAAGAGGCAGAAACATGTGCACACACACACGCTCACACACACACACACACACACACACACACACACACACACACACAGGGGCGTTTTAAAGTGTTTATACAGTGTGGTGTGTGTGGATAATCCCATCTAAATTCACCTGTATGTGTGTGTGTGTGTGTGTGTGTGTGTGTGTGTGTGTGTGTGTGTGTGTGTGTGTGTGTGTGTGTGTGTGTGTGTGTGTGTGTGTAGCATTTGCATTTGCCTGGGTAAGCCCATATGATTTTGTTCGCTGTGCATGCATGCATGTGTGTGAAGGTCAGCGCAGGTGTGTGTGTGTGACTGTGTGAGTGTGTGTGTGTGTGAGTGTTATTTGATTAATGCTGAGAACCGTGGAGTGTTTAGAAAGAGGTCACGACCTTTCAGCTTCCATTCAATCAGACAGAGAGAGAGAGAATACCTCTATCCTCTTTTTTTTCTAACCTCTCTCGCTCTCTACTCGATTTTTTTCCATGCCCCTTGAGAATCTGATAAGCCTTAGTCAGCACACACACACACACACACACACACACACACACACACACAAATGCTAATAAACTCCTTATTTACCTGGAGCAGCGGTGACCACACTTGAGCTACACAAAGTGTGTGGACACAGGTTTAAAAGGCCTCTTGTGTCAAATAAAAAAAGACACATTTTAAGGAGGCACTATTATGCCTTTGGGGGGGGGGGTTTCCCTTCCCATTTCAGCGCCCTAAAATATTTTTATGTCAACCTTTTGTTCCTTAATCTTAATTAAATGAACCATGGCATTATAACAGATTCATTGTTGGGTGTTGCATCAGATCAGAAATCACCGTTTTGCCTAAAAACCATCAACCCTGGGTGCATTTTATTGTCATGTATGTACCAGAAACAATACACACATCTTTTTAACTGCTGGTCAATATTCTTGAGGATAAATTGGAGCAAATCTATTCAGAAATATTGAGAGAAATCATCCCTATAAAAGTATATCATGTTGGATTTTAGTGTTTTTAATTGTGTCCCATGTAGTGTCCAGGTGTCTGCACACTTCCGTCCACATGCACCTCTCTCTCTTGGATGCCTTTCAGAGTCTTATCACACTCTCACACTTTGTTAACTGCAGGTAAATGCTCTTGAGGATGAATTAGAGCAAATCTACTCAGAAATCTTGTGAGAAATCATCCCGTAAAAGTAAATAATGTTGCATTTATGTGTCTTTAATTCTGATATACGCCCAAAAGCAATCCCATGCAGTGTCCAGGTGTCTGAACAACACACTTTCGTCCACACCTCTCTCTCTCCGTTGTATCTCCCGATCAAGTCTTTCTCTGAGTCAACACTTTCTCTTTTTTCTCCCATGTCATCTCTTTCCCTTCCTCCCCCTTCCTCCCCCCTAGTATCTGTTAATTTGCTCTCTATCTCCCTCTCTTTGAACCTCTCCTTTAGCCCCTGCGGCCCCAGCCAATTACACACTGTTTGTCCACCCGTTTTCAATAAAACACTGCTTCCCTCCCTCCATTCCTTCCCCTCCCTTTTTTATTTTTTCCTCCCTCTCTCCCCCTCCGTCCACCCCCGACTGCTTCCGTCCATTTCCCTCCCGTCGTTCGCTTTTTCTCATTTTTAATTAACTTCTTTTGTAACTTGGAAGCGACCCCCCTCTTCTTCTTCTTCTTCTTCTTCTTCAACATGCCTCTTGCACTCCCACACTCACTCTGTCTTTCTCACACACACACACTGAAACACACACACACACACACACACACACACACACACACACACACACACACTTGGCCTTGGTGTGCATGCACAAACACACATATAAATGGAGGTTAAACATGCTATTTACATATCAATTACAGCCAGACACCGAATCGATGATTAATGCGCGCTAAGATTAGCAAGCTTTCGCTAATCTGCCGCTGTTTAACCGTGTCCAAGATTTTGACTTGAAAACACATTCATTTGGATCACTTTCACTCTTTGATGCAATGACTTGTGTGCAAATGTGTTTAAGGTTTTACAATTGAATGAGATTTAGATTCAAATCAGGTCAGAAGTCTTCATGTAATTGAGAGAATTCGGATTAATTTGTGCTAGTTTAGCAGCCGTTTTTTAATAGCATGCTAGCTTAGATTCCTACGGGTTTTCAAGAATGAGTTTACACTTCTGCTGAGGAGTTAGTTTGGTGATTTGATTATTTGAAATGAGTTATTTAACGAGATAAATGGTTGACTTACTGCGGGTCAATTTCAGTCAATGAACTAATGACTTTGTGCTTTCATATTGATTAGCGCTAGCTGCTAGCTTAGCCTGCTAGCTTGTCACTATCCTCTGGGAAACTGCAAATCATATTTTACTTACTTAAATAGATTGATAAACATTAATACATATGATTTTAAAGTTATATTAATCATTTTGGACCTAAACTGTTGTTAAAGTTTATAAATCAATGGTATTTATTAACCTCTGTTAGCTTGACGACATAGCAGTCTTAATTTGTCAGTCTAAAGCAGGGGTGTCAAACTCAATTTAATCGCGGGCCACATCAGCATTATGGTTG